AAAGAGTTGAAAAAATTTGATGTTGTCCAGGAGAAGAAAGAATATGATGGAATTCATTGTTTGTAGCCAACTTGATTTTTCTGAAAAAAAAAAAAAAAAGCCTTCTTTTTTGAGGAAACTGATGGAGACATTTATTGAGTTGTTAATTTACTATCGCCTTCATGGATTGTCTTAACATAATGTAAAATTTTCAAGAAGCGGCAATTTTTGGGATTTTCTTTCTTCAATCTGCCAAATATTTTGTCATTTTTTTATCCGAATCGTGATCTCCTGCTTGTTTGATTGAGAAGCTTTTTGTTGGTTTCATTTTACTTTACTCTGGAGTCTGGACCAATTTAATAAAGATTGTGATATTGTTGCCCAATTTTTCCTACTTAGAAGCATGCTTTTGAAAATCTTAGATTATGTTGTCCATAAGAAAAAAGAGAAAGAATACCAGATTGCTGTGCTTATTGTGCAGCTTTTACCACAAATCTAGGAAATTTTCTGCTCCACTTTATTGCAGCCCTTGCGTTATTAAGTAAAGGGAGAAGCTATAGGAAACAAGAACAGTATATCTGCCTTGAAACTTGAGTTGAAATGGAAATGTAACAGATTTAATTACAACCTGAAATTAGAGACATGATCTTTTTTGTTGCATTAAAAGATTCTGCTTTGTGGTCCTTTAGTGAGTAGTTGGGTTTTGGACCCTTTATGTCAATTTAAGATTTTTTTTTTTTCTCATTGTTTTCTCACTCAAGTTTGCATTCCTACTCTTTTTGAAATTTGGTGATGGCATTTTGGTTCTTTAGCAGTCAGTTTTTCCAAACAATGAAAATTCATATTCTCTTGGTATTTAATTTATCCAAAAAGAATAATAGGAGACAATTAATGAAATGCTTCCTTTAGAATAACTAATGTTTTCACTGTCATTATTAATGAAAACTTCATATAGAAGGGGTCTTTTTGCAAAGCAGTCAATAGAATTATGGATGCATCTCAACCTATATAACTGTGGTCACCTTTAGTCATCATCCAACATCCACATGGTTTGGTGAAATCAGTGGTTACAAATGTGATCGTATCTTATTTCTCATGTGTTTGTCATGGTGTTCCATGTACCATGAAGAAACTCACAGAAGAACTAATGCAAGCGCTAGTGGAGGCAAGAGACGCTGACAGTTATGGAGGAAGGTTGGAGGGTTCATTTTTGTCATTTGAGGAGCTTGTTGAGGAGATGACGTCAAAACGTCAAGACATCAAGGCCTTTGCTTTCAAGACCAAGGCCATGGTACATTATACATCATTTATACTTATGTCTCTTGGTATTTTGCAAGTAGCTATAGTGACAGCATACATTAAGAGTATTGGCTAGAAACAGCAGCACAATCACCTCAGTAGAGGGGAAAATGAAGAAATTATAAAAAGTAGGTTTAAATAAAAGTCTGTCGTATATTTGACTGTGAGAGAAAGATTTGCAAGAGATGTGTACATCATAGAAAATGCTTTGCTCTTGCTTTAGCTTGGCACTTCATTTGCCTTACCCTACAGTGCCAAGTATTTGAAGAAAAAACTTTGTGAAATCCCTTTTTTTTTTCTTTCCTTTTCCCCCCTAAAGCTTACATGAATGTCTTAACCATTCTACTATATTGGGAATCCTTGTGGTACTTTTAAACAAAATATACCTGAATTTTCTTCAACTGGACTTTGAAAATATTTGCATGATTATCTTCACCATTACAGTCTTGGAAATAACTCTGGTAATTTTTAGCTACATAATCTAACCAAATGTCCTGTCCATTGAACTATCAAAATCATGGCTGGTTATGATGCCTGCTAAGGTTTTTGACTTCATTTGGTTTAGAATAGGTGTATATGTGCATGAGCTTGTCAAAAATCCAAAATTTCATATAATATGCATAAGATGGATGAGTTTGAGGCTTGGGTTTGCTTAGGATGTTCCTGGGCATTTTAGTTTTGAATTGTGGCCTTAAAGAGTTCTTTTTCCTAATAGTTAGACCTTTTAATAAGAATGTGATTTTTTCTCATTCTCTCCAATGAGAAACAGAAAAAGAAGAGAAAAAGGCAAGGACATTTTTTTTTTTAACTGATAAGCTAAAAGAAGGTTTCTAGATTGTCATTACTCTTTTATTTTTTATTTTATATATATATATTTTTTATTTTCCACTTCTAGGGCGCCTTAATGAAGTATGAAAATTGATGAAGCATCTTTTCCATGATTGTGTTATTATGCAGTTTGATTTCTAGTGCTGTAATAGTAGCCTAGCATATCAACTATCAAGCAACTCATCCTAAAGCTTAAACTGTTAGATTAGGTCCCAAAGTGTTGTATTAGCGTGCTCCTCCACATGAAGTTCTGTTGGGGTTAAAAGCATTGATAAATTGTAGGTCTTCAAATGCCTTGAGATGAAATTTTAATAAAAAAAATGACGGGTAGTCAATACTTTGTCAAAGAGGATCCAAGAATTGGATTTGTTCAATAAAGCTTAAGTAAGCAAAGTTTGCTCAATGTCCATGAGAACTTTTATGATAGTTGCTCACATGCATTGATTGCAATTGCTTTTGCGTGTATAGGAAGTTTGCTTGCTCTTTCTTAGCCTTTTAGTTTATAGTCAGATGTAAAAAATCTTTTGTAAACCAATGGGCAGCATCCTCTTGCATCCAGAATAATAAAACTGGGAAAAGAACAATAATAATAAAGTTGAAGGTGAGAATTCTTTTCTGGTTTTACTGGATCTCAGGATGTTTTAACCCTTTTTTTTTTCTTTTCGATATTGGGTTGCACAACAGGAGGCAACCCTCTCCCATCCCTTAACCCACTTAAAAGGAGATTACCACTAAACTACTTAGGTTGTTTGCTAGATGTTTAAACTTTTAGAAAAAAATATATTAGTTTAAAACTTGGCATAGAATTCTTTTTTCAGGCTACCTTGTTTCTTTATTCCAACCATTTCTTTTACTTATTGTGGTAATCTGGTTGGCTCTGGTTGAATATTTCAGATAGTACGTGTTTAAAATTTTAAGTAAGGCATCAGAGTGATATGTTTTATTGGGTTCAACCTGCCATGACCTTAGTTTAATAGGATTTATCATTTATTGATCAAGTTACCTTAATGTTAATCTTGATTTATGTTTCTTGGTGTTTAGCTAAAATCTGAAAACTAATAACCATAAAGTCAGTTCATGTTGTTCATCTTTGTTATTCCTTTCCTTGTTAATTCTAAAACATTCATATTCTTTATTTGTGTCAATCCAATTACCGAACTACATTGTATCAAAGCTGGTTAACTAGTGGAATGATGTTGAGCATGTGATATCTTGTGGTGATATCTAACATGATCAGAAGCTGTATCTCGTATTCAGTAAGAAGTTAGGGAATTTGGCTGGCACTTAACCTACTTAAAGACAAATTTATTGTTTTTTGCTTTGGGGTTTAGCATTCTTCACAGTATTCCTTTGGAAGCTATAGTGAAGAATATTATAGGAAGATTTGATGCTGATATGGAAACCTCGATATAAGCTTAGTTTTCTTCAAGGTACCAACTAATGACATGGTGCATAAGTTTATGTGGCAGCAGAAAGGGTAAAATAATATAACTGTTGCATTGCAAGCATAATTTCTTGACGTTACCATGTAGATGTTATAAAAAGTATAATCCTTTATGTTTTTCAATTTTACTAAACATTGTTTTGACTTCTCACCTCACCTAAAATATCTCCTAATGACCAGTGGTGTGGAGTTGGAATTTTTTAATGAGACCCTTGATTCTCATATTCTTTCCAAGAAGCTAAAGAATGAAAATTACTTAGTCTACTGTCTACCAAAGAATGGAAAACAATGGTATTGGCAAACTATCTATAATTTAGGGCCCATTGTGCTTAGTTGGAGGTTTTGTAGAAATGCATTTTAGTACAGTTCATTTGCAAATGCTTTATCATGAAAATATATAGAATAAGCATTGCCGTTTCAAAAATAAATTCTATTAAACTTAAAAATGATTATCTGCAAAGCAGTTTATACCAAAGTCTCAAAGGTGCACTTTGGCTTCTAGTCATCCAGAAGCTAAACAAGTTGCCAAAGATAGAAGCACTTTTAAGAGGGCCTGTTTGACCTAGCACCAGCCTCTGCAGTAAAGAAGCTGTCCGAAAAGTTAGGCCAAGCAGGCATTTAGTTACTCTGTAATTGACAATTATAAATTAGCATTATGGCATTAATTGCCTAAGTCTCTTATTAAAAGGGGAAGCTATTTTCTTGTTTGTTGTGCAGCTACTGAAAATGGAGCAAAAGGTCCAGTTAGCTAGGAAGCGTGAGTTGATCAACTGGCATTTAGCTTCACATGGCGTCCCAAAGAGCTTACATTGCCTTTGCCTAAAACTGGCTGAGGAGTATGCTATGAGTGCCATGGCCCGGTCTCGTTTACCTCCACCTGAACATGTTTCTCGCCTTGCTGATCCATCCTTTCACCATGTTGTTCTTCTGACTGATAATGTCCTTGCTGCTTCTGTTGTCATCTCTTCTGCAGTTGAAAATGCTGTAAATCCAGAAATTTTGGTATTTCACATAGTAACTGACAAGAAAACTTATGCTCCTATGCATGCATGGTTTGCAATCAATTCTATTAAGTCAGCTGTGGTGGAAGTAAAGGGATTGCATCAATATGATTGGTCTGATGAGGTGAATGTTGGAGTTAAACAAATGATGGAGATTCATCACTTGATTTGGAGTCATAACTACAATAATCTCAAAGAAGAAGACTTCAAATTAGGAGAACATGAAAACTGCCTAGCGGCTCTAAGCCCTAGCTGCCTCTCCCTTCTAAATAGTCTCCGGATTTATATCCCTGAGGTAATTATTCAAAATTTTTGGAGTCTCTGATTCAAATGGATGATATTGAACATGAGATTTATTATAATTGATCCATCATCTTACTTTCATGGGTCACACAGCTGTTTCCAGACCTCAAGAAGATAGTATTTTTGGATCATGATGTGGTGATACAACATGACCTATCATCTTTATGGGCAATGGATCTTAATGGGAAAGTCGCTGCTGCAGTTGTCAACTCAGGGTGTGGAGACAATTGTTGTCCAGGAAGGCAATACAGGAATTACTTAAATTTTTCACACCCATTAATTTCATCGAACTTCAATCCTGAACATTGTGCATGGCTTTATGGTATGAATGTCTTTGATCTTGAAGCTTGGAGACAAACCAATGTTACAGCAAAATATCAGAAATGGTTAAAACTTGTAAGTATGTCATCCAATCTTGATTCAATAAATTAATCATATTGCGTTGTGCACCAAAATTTTGAGGTGGATGTGGCGTAAGCATTTCCCCCAATGTGGGACAAAGTTAGTTGCCTTGCTTTTTATTTATTCTGTTAACAGTGAGTGAAAGAAAATGAACTGGGGACTTTGGTTCTTGTTTCTTGTTTTACCTGATTAATTTTTACTGTGATACTGCAGATATGGTTTGTGGGAATAAGGAACTGTATAGCTTCTCTTGCAAATTACTTCTATCTTCTGCAAAAACAAAATCTCTACAAGCATGTTCACTTTTGCTGGTTGCTGATGCTCTATACTTTTATTCTGACTCAATTTGATTTTAGATATGAAAACCTACATGCATCTTTGGGCTTTCATGATATCATAGTGCCTCTAACAATGAACGCACGAAGTTCCTTTCTGTAAGTTGCCAATTGTCAATTGTGTAATGCAGTTTATGTGATTCCACAGAATCTCAATTCTGGGTTGATGCTGTGGAAACCAGGAGTGCTTCCTCCGGCCTTAGTTGCTTTTGAGGGCCATGTGCATCCCATTGATCCTCTATGGCATGTGGCTGGTCTAGGTAATCGACCCCCAGACAGTCATGGAGAGAGTTTGGAAGCTGCTGCTGTCTTACATTTCAGTGGCCCTGCAAAGCCGTGGCTTGAGATTGGATTCCCAGAAGTACAAATCCTATGGAGTAGACATGTAAATTCCTCAAACACGTTTATTAGAAGATGTAGAATCCTGGGGTGAAGAGGACGAAGTTCTCTCACACCTGCACACTGATTTTGGGATCAAAGTATTAAAGCAGAGGGAAGAAGGTTTTGCCTTCAGTCTCTGCTTATACTTTGCACATATGAAATTATGGTAATTTCATGTCCATAATAGAAATATTTGTAGGTACCCAGTGAATGGTAAACTAAGGTCAGGTTCTTCACTCATAATGGATGGAGAAATGAAATTATATGTGGTTGTAGCTCATTGAGAACACTGTAATTAACTTTAACTAGGTAATTCAAGTTATATTTTAATGTGGAACTCTTTTATTGTTATTATTATTATTATTATTATCATCATTCCTTTCCCAGTTTTATTATTCTGGATGCAAGAGGATGCTGCTGATCAGTTTACAATAGAATATTTTTTTAAATCATTTTTTTTAATTTATTGCAAAAAGGTTAAATGTCAAATTTAATGCTTAAACTTTTAATTTTAAACAAATTTAATTTATGAACTATTTTTTTCACTTTTTTGTTCTTCAACTATGAATAATATATTTCTTTAGTCCATCTGTCAGTTTTGGCCATTAAGTTTGTACAAGTAGCATTTTTTCAGTTCTTAAAATTCAGGAGCAAAAAATGTGCATAAAACAAAAGTTTAGGGACTAAAACAATGCCAATCAAACAAAACCGATAGGAAGGAAAAAAAAAGTACATATTTTTCACTAATAAGAGATAAAAGAAGTGTCAAACATAGTTCAGGACTAAAATTATTAAAAATTCAAAATTTAGAGAAAATTTTGACATCTGAACTATTGCAAATGATATTTTTATTGAACCTGAAATTATTCTGGAAGAAGCAAACTATTATAGGAATGAAGCTGTTTACACCATAAATTGCAAAATTTTAAATTAATGCCACGTGTAAAATTTTTATTGGCTGGAGGAGTTTTGAGTCATGTCAGATTCGGATCCTGGGCCCCATGACAGGTCAGCACATGTGTTGGCAAGATAAGAAAAATAAAGATAATGTTGAGTAATTATCTTTTGAAACAGAAAGAGATAATGGCAGTTGGTAAGATAGGGGAGGATCACATTTAAAAAGGG